TTAATTATGACTATCTATAAGATAAAACTACATCAGAAATAGACATCCTTCCCAAATGTTATCTAATAGTGGAGAGGTTTTTCTAGAACAAAATAAATACTTCCTTTGTAAATGGCCATTTTCAAGGTGAACTAGTTGAAGATGACTAGAATGTGCCCTGGCTGGTTTGCTCAGTGGATAGAGCATCATCTTGCAGACCAACGGGTACCAGGTTTGATTCCTGATAAGGGCATATGCCTGGGTTGCGGGTTTAATCCCCAGTGTGGGTGCGCAGGGGGCAACCAAGCAGTGATTCTCTCTCGTCACTGTTGTTTCTATCTCTCTCTCACTTTCCTTTCTTCTCTGAAAGAAATAAAAATGTATTAAAAAATAAAATAAAATGACTAGAATGTCAGAAATTAAAGGCCTGGAAAATTTGAAACATTAGCTCATATGTCAAGAAAATAATTATTTTAACCAAAATCTTTTCACATTTAAAACCATTTAAAGATTACCGAATATTTTCAACTATACTATTTGTATTTAAGAGGAAATATTAACTATAAAATAGATCATATTTTGATTTTCTATATTACCAGAAATATACTAAGCTTTATATTTATATCAATCCTCTATTTATATTAATATGGATGACATAAACTTAAATAAGAACAAAAGTGATAACTTCTCTCTTAAACTCACTTTGTTACTAAATACTGTTTCTCAAGAATCTGATTTTAAACAAAAATAGAAATAGTAGTGTCAGGGAATTGAAGATACCAAAATGAAATGAATACATTTCAGATATAGAACACATTAACAATTTATATCTGTGTATATGAAATTAAAATACCCTTGAGAAACTTGTGCATATTGTCAATCAGTAAATTTTCACGGAAAGATAAAATTGCAGTGAAAATAATCATGTTTTTAAATTTTATAGAACCTCCTTAAAATATTTCATAATGGTTTATGTTTTTGCCTAACAATGATCCTAAGAATTAGCTAGTCAGCAACAAGAAAAAGGAGTAGCTCAGCATTCATTATATCAGGGTCTAACATCATTGTATTTGGCACTTATCCACTAACATCAAATGGCCTTTGTTAATTAAGCCTAGAGAACAGATCAAATCCTTGTGCTATTTTGGAAGGTTTTCTTAGCCTATTGATCGTGTCAGGCACAAGTCATTATGTCATTATATATCTTCTCAATCAATGGGTATTAAAAGTACAACTATTATGAAAGGTTCTTGGAAATATCTTAATGTATAAAATGTCTAAAAGAGGTTGGGAACGACTATTCTAATACATTTGTGATTCATTCATCTAAGTGTGAGGAAGAATTAGAGGTTTTTCTAAGTTCAGAGTCCCTGGATCACATTAATGCAATTGCCCCTGTCATAATACTGCCTTCACTGAGTTATGATGTATGTTACTGATAATATAGAAAATTTTAAAAAAGATCTATTTAAACATCAGTTCTATATCTTTCAATAAACTGTGACAGAAGGCATTATTGACCATTTTACGGTGTTCTGAATATAAGCATTCCCACGACTCCTAAGGATTCTTATGTTTTGTCTGAATTTATTTCCAGAAACTATGCGGTTTGTTAGATAGCTAAACCCTCCTGCCATAAGAAAGTTATGAAATATTATAGGTTTCTATGTTTAAATCTATGGTTAGAAAAGTTAGAAAAAAATTAGTGATTGAGTATAATAATCCTATCTAATAATAGAGAAACATGGTAATTAACTATAACTTTGCTACCCTTGCCACTGGCTAATCAGCAAGATATGCAAATTAACTGCCAACCAAGATGGCAGCCGGCAGCCAGGCAGCTAAAGTGAACATGAGGCTTGCTTGCTCCAGTGATGGAGGAAGCCAAGGTTCCCCGCCTGCTGCGACCCAGCTCTGAGCACTAGATGCAATAATGCTGCAATTATAGAAGCTAAACAAACCCAGATACCTGCTTTCAGCCAGCCACAGCCTCAGAGCTGGAGCCGGCTCTCAGCTCCAGTGACAGCTGTAGGAGGTAAATAAGTCCCAGAACAAAAAAGAAAAGAAAAGTGGCTGGCAGCTTCAGTCATCTGCCAGCCTGAAAACGGCCCTCAGCCCCTCACCCAGGCTGGCCAGGCACCCCAGTGGGGACCCCTATCCTGAAGGGGCTGTGGCCACCTGCAAACAGTCATCAGCCTCTCACCCAGGCTGGCCAGGCACCCCAGTGGGGACCCCCACCCTGAAG